GTCCTGTATTACACTGCTGTCTGTCCTGTATCACACTGCTATCTGTCCTGTATTACACTGCTGTCTGTCCTGTATCACACTGCTATCTGTCCTGTATTACACTGCTGTCTGTCCTGTATCCTTTTACTGTCTGTCCTGTATCACACTGCTATCTGTCCTGTATCACACTGCTTTCTGTCCTGTATCACACTGCTGTCTGTCCTGTATCACACTGCCGTCTGTCCTGTATCACACTGCCGTCTGTCCTGTATCACACTGCTTTCTGTCCTGTATCACACTGCTGTCTGTCCTGTATCACACTGCTGTCTGTCCTGTATCACACTGCTTTCTGTCCTGTATCACACTGCTGTCTGTCCTGTATCACACTGCTGTCTGTCCTTCATCATTCCTGTCAGCCCAGTGAGCTGGAAGCTCTACTTTGGCAGCTTAGGCTGCCTCTGTGTATGTGTGACCACGGGGCCAGGCGACTCACCATTTTGTCCCACTCGGGGCAGTCGGGGACAGGAGGAGTCGGAGTTGGGGGATTAAGACACGGTCCTGTCGTATTTTGGAGCTCACAAACATCAGAGCAGATCATGGTGAGGCAGAGTCCAGCTCCAATGTGTGTCATATTAAATATGACGTCCCCTAAGGAAAAATTAAGAAAAAATTAACTATACATAACAGGTGAATATTGTTTCATAAATAAAATTAAGAGTACGCAAGAGAATTTCAGAGAGGGAAACAAAGTAATTGTACATAAGCAATCAGAAAACTCATTAAAAGAATAATTAAAGAATTCTACTTTCGAAAAGTCATATTCTGCATGGTAATTCTGTGCTGGGAAAGGAAATACAATTTGTCTCTAATACTTAAATCCTAATTTTTTATCATAGGTTCCAAAAATAAAGGCAACAAAAGTGCCTGACATGTTTATATACACATAATAAACATACCAGGTTTGTAAATATTCCCATTAACTTCACAAAAACATGGTGTGGGTCCAGCTGGGCTTGAAGACGTTGTAGACGGTGATGTTGAATTTACTTGAGGAAGTGATGGAACAGCAGTTGAGACTGGAGAACCAGTTACAATCAGATCAGGGGGTTCTGCAGTTGTTGTAGGCGATTCTGTTGTAGTGGTAGTAGTTGGTGGTGGAGGTGTTTCTGTTGTAGTGGTAGTAGTTGGTGGTGGAGGTGTTTCTGTTGTAGTGGTAGTAGTTGGTGGTGGAGGTGTTTCTGTTGTAGTGGTAGTAGTTGGTGGTGGAGGC